ACAAAAAAAGTCCAAAACAAATAATATCCAAAACAATTTTTTTTTTAATTCTTCACGGGGCGGGGCATCCCCGCCCCGCCAACTCGTTCGGTGCGGGTTTTTTTGCCCCATTTGGGGCAGGGCCCCACGGGGACGGGGCGGGACGGGGAAAATTACCATCTCTGCTTTTCATCATGTTATGAGTTGTACAACAATAGACAACACTAAAAAATAAAATAAGTTAAAATCTTACTAATCAAACATGCTCTTTATGTTTCACATTGAGTCTTGCAACTCATGGATTGAAGTACCACATTTATTCGATGAAATTCATGTTAACTTCCTCTCTAAAACAAATTTCTTTTGCAAAATTCATACTCAAGGCTTCAAATCATCTACACTGCTGGCATTGGGAAGATTGAACACCTATTGAAGCATCTTCCTCTATCTTGGATGGCTTTTTCCAACCAAAGTAATACCAAAATCGTCATAAAAATTGAAAGGGATAATGCAGCTGACCATAACAATTTTACTGAAAATTTAAATGGTTTGCACTGGTGCGCAAAGATATCTGAGAACGCTTCTATCACGGATGAGCATTGCATCAACCTCAACAAATCGGGAAATACATGTATCACGCCTTGAATCGACTGGCTGTAAGCCCAGACAATTATATACGAGGACTCGGTAAGAAATCTCCCGTCAGCTAGGCATTTTCTTGACGAATTGTAACAAGTGAATTTCGAAAGGACCTGCACAAGAATTTTTTTTACGGATTATGTGTTCAGTTCGATAAAGTTATAATGAGATTCCAATGAAAAGAAGCACCGAGTCCCATGAAATTTGTAGATAAAAAGTGAGTAGTAGTTGTGAATGTGTGGTTTGAGGATGGATAGAATCACTTACACTTGGTAAATCTCCAACTGAAATAGATTTGTTTCCACAGATTCCTGGTGTGTAACTATAATTAGGAGCACCGGAGAAAGGATTACAAACTTCCTGGATTGATGTATCTTCTTTTTGTTCGTTCGGGGTAACTAGTCCTTGTACCTCTAAAATCTTCGAGTTTACCTTCAAAAGGGAGAAAAGAAAACGTTATAGAATTTAATGTTGAATCCTCGGACATCTGCCGTATTATGATCACTTCAGTACCTCTTTTATGAAACTATGAACAGTATAACCAATTTGCACCAATGTTGTGTCATAGTTCTTCGATTGTGCACATGGAAGTATGTTAGACAGGCTACTGTTTTGGGGGTTTTGCACAAAATTCTCCAATGCTGAACAAGTATCGATAATAAAACTGCGTTCAGACATGATTAACTTTTTGTTAATATAAAAAGATAGTAGCTGTCATTAATCATACCATCAAAGTAGCAAGAGAGAAAAAGAGAGACGTCGTACTCACGTATAGAAGAAGAAATTAACACCGGTAAGAAAACAGATTAGAGTTGTCAATACCCAGAAGCAAAAGATTATGCTGAAATGCAGTAAAGGCTATTAATATTGAACGATCAAATTAAATATGTATGGATGAGAAAATGAGCTGAATTTCACTTACAGTATCATTCCAGGTTGACAATGCAGGAAGAGTAGAACTGAGCGAAAGCAGCAATCCGTTAGTCTAACCAAGTTGCATTGTCACATCTTTGTCACAAGAAACTAACTAAACCCGCAAAAGGAACAAATCAAAGAGGAATAGCAGCATAAACATTATTGCTAGGATTTGTTACTATTTGAGGTACATAGTGAGTATTCGCTCTACTTTCTAAGTGCATGCTTCATAAGCAATGCTAGATAGGATTGGACAAGACTGGACCTATTTTTTTTACCTTCACATTGTCGAATACTATCCAATCCTCCTTACTAAACATACTAAATGCATATATAGCTCGAGAGTTCGTATTGAAATGTAATCTAAAATATATAGTTTTTTCAAAAAAATGAAAACAGCACAAAATATGTTATAATATTTCTAAACTCGACTAGTTAAGAAACTTGTACGCTCCTCCAGAAACTAATCTGGCAGCTTCACTGGAAATAAGATTCAGTAGTTTTGTTTTGTATTAAAGAAATCATTTTTACTTAGATGTCCGCAAAATGTACATATGCTAGAATTTCCATCCATGCATTACTATAAACAAATCTCACCTAATCCAGCAACTAAGAACACCAAATTGACTGTCACAACCACAAGATTTGCCATATATCTAGAAAAAGAACAAGGGATTAGCGAAAACATTTGAACTCAAAAAGATTTAAAAGGGAAGATTCTTACAAAATTTTATCTGCTTGATCGCTAGATTGCCTGGTTACATAAACAAATTGTTGAATAGTTATCGATTCTCTTCTTAGCCGATGGGTTGTCAAATTCAATTGGTGGCAAGTTCCTGGATCATATGGCTGTAGCAACACTTGCATATCTATAAGGGCTATGTTTACTCTTCGTATAGCTTGGGAAGAATCTCTCCCAACATCACAAATGGTTTCTTTAAGCTTGTTAGCTCTCTGTAGCGACTTCTGATTTGCTGCGATTATGACACAAGTTGCAGCTCTTCAAGCAAAAAACATGTGGACGTATGTAGTTAGGTCTCTTAAACCAGAATCAGACAAGAACTCTACATAATGCACATTTACATGCATATTATGTTACGTAATGTGAATGGAACAGAGCATTAGTTAACACATTAACCTGGAGTGCAGAGTAAAAGGTAAAGGTAGGTAGAACTTTTGTACCAACAATATTACACGTCTTTTATGATTAATGTACAACCAAAACAATTCGTCTTTTGATTGATAACATAAATAGCCCTTGTTTGGTGGGGATTAAATAAGATTTTTAGTAGATTTTGATAAAAATTGATGAAATGAGTGGTTGAAAAGATGCGGGACTCATAAAATGTGGTTGAAATGAATTACTGACTTTGACTTAAATTAAAATTAAAATTTTAATAGGTACTAAATAGATGATTAGGATAGAATGAAAAAAAAATATTAGTTTATTTCTGCATAAGAATGTACTAAACAATTATAGCTTGTTTGGTAGGATATACGGTACAATAATGAATTTTATCCATTGTACAACCTATTTTGATCATGATTATACTAGATTCTGCACAAGAACGGACTAAACAATTATAACTTGTTTGGTAGGATAGACGGTAAAATACTGAATCTTATCCATTGTATACTCTAGCGTAGTCCAGCCCAATACCAAGTACCAAACATGGAGTTATGTCCAAGACATTTCCGATAACCCAATATTTCGTAGACCCAGGCAGCACGAATAAAAGTATATGGTAATCATAAGAGTTCAAAGAATAGTTCAACAAATTTGTAATTTAAAGGGCAATTAGAGAAAAATGAAATTCAATGGCATAAAGACTTACATAGCAAAAAGAGTGAAGAGAACAACAAGCAAGAATATTATTAAGTAGGAAGAATCTCCATGATATACAGTTGGAGAAGAATGTCCAGAGCAATGCTTAAGAACCATAAAGCTCCCACAGCCCAAACCGAAGAGTAACCAAATTCCGGCCATTGCATAGCCATGGATGCCTGTAAATGCTGCAGACTATATTCAAGTACAAAATATCAGTTTCAACTTTCAAGCCTTGCCCACTAAATCCTAACAGGGTGGCAAAAATTGAAGTTGACACAGAACTTGGTAATATTTTTTCAAAAATTTCACAAAATCTTGATAATAGTTACAGCTCTTTCAAGAACATGTAGCACACATGTAATCATTCCTATTTACATTATTATACCAAGGCGCTAGAGTTGTGGATCCGATTCATTTTTTCCTCATTTTAAGCTCTTGTTTGGTCCTCATTAAAAAAAATTTCATTCTTAATTTTAACCACAGATTGTCCAAATAAAATAATATTACACACAAATCTAAAACTTTTCATTATTTTTTTAACTACACATTCCCCCGTCAATCACTATTCCAAAATTTATAAATTCTCCAAAATGGGGGCCAAACAATGACTTAAACTCATGAGCTCGTACTAAAATAAAACTCTTTTAAAATAAAATATTCCATACGTGAATCCAAATTTTTTCCCACTTCTTTACCACACATTCTTCAAAAAAAAGACTCAATTGTCAAATGCGGGCTAAGTTTCCTGGGTTAGACATAGGAAGTGATTGTTAAAAGTATTAACACAAAATAAACAAATTCATCTTCATCACAAGTTTAAGTTTAAGTTTTTAGACGATGTGATCACTCAAAACTATATTGCAACGACAATCTAAACGGCTGAAGAATCAAACACAGCAGAAACTAAGAATTATGCACAAAAATCATTGATAGAAAAATGAAGAAATTAAAATATTGATCCTCCACTTACAGCCCAGTAATGCATATCTCTAATATCATAATCCCCGTTGTATCGTTTAAATTTCCTCAATGGGTCTGGCCTTTTCTGAATCTTCGGTCGAAGAGGGGATCCAAGAACCAGGGAATTTTCAGTAAAAAGAGTTAATGAAGCTAAAAGAAGAACAAAATAAGCAGCAACCCGGGTTGATTTCGGCATAACTTCTCTGGATTTTTTTTTTAGAATGACGAATTTTTTTGAAGCCCAGATATAAAATTGCGAGAAATTTGGAAGAGGAAAGGTAGAAAATGTGTACCTCCTGACTTGGTTATTAAGGTAAGAATAGCTTGTGGCCATGGATTCTGTTGCTTTTGTTTGTTACACACTACAGACTCGGTAGCAATAGCATGGAACTCAGAAATACAAGAAACGTTGTAATGCATGTTCGGCTAAGCCTAAAAACTCACCATTTTTTTTTATAGTAAAGTTGCTTATAAGTAAAAATGTAAAATAAATAAGCAAATTTTTAGAATTTGACCTGCCTTATAAATTAATTATTCTAAATATTCCAGTTTTAAAACAAATATAATTTTAGTAGAATTTTTTTTCTTTGGTAATTAAAAAACTTTTATGACTGCTATAGCACAAATTTATTAATATTGATAAAGTTGAGATTCATGTTTTATTTTTTATTTTAGGACTAAGCCTCCATTTGGTGCAAATTTAAATTCAGATTTTAATTTAAATATAAGTCAACAACTAATTTTAATCACACATTTTATGAGACTCGCGATTTTTTAACCACATATTTTATCGATTTTTATCAAAATTTATAAAAAAATATGATTTTAATCCTCACGAGATAGGGGATAAAGTTTAGTGTCAAGAGCATAGTTATATTAGACTCGACTCGGACAATGTATTGAGTCTTAGGTTATTAGTCGAACTAGCAGGTCAGTGGTCGACCGGTGAGTCATTGCATAAAAACTTACAAAAAAACATGAAGTATAAATTTTTTTAGGGGCAAAATTAATTTTTTAAATTTATTTTTCACTAATTATTTAGGTTTATAAAATAAAGTAAAATGTTGGACCTAAGTTTTTTAAAAGAATATTTCTTTAAAAGTTATAAATGATTCATTAGATAGATATAAGTTATTACATACAAGTAATACTAAAGCAATTTATGTCCTTTTAAAAGAATATTTTTATAAAACCGCTAAATGACCCATTATGTAGATATAAGTTATTGCACATAAATAATACTGAAGCACTTTATATTCAAGTGGTGAGGAACCAATTATTTTCCTTAGAGATCCAAGTTCAATTCTCTTGTACCCAAAAATTTTGCAAGAAGATTTCAAAATCCAATCAAACGAGTCATTGGGCCGGTTAAATCACCGATTAACTCGGTCAAAGCTCGATTTTGATCGAATCAAGTATATTTCTATTAAATTAATTAGTTCGGCCTGATCAAGGGTCCGAACTACTAGTTTTCCAATCTGTCCGCCGGGATCGAGTCGGGTTTTATAACTATGGTCCAGAGTAAATATTCGAATTTTATAATGAGAAAATTATTTAAAACCCTTTTTTTCAAGATTACAATTCAAAAACAAAGGGATAAAATTTACAATTCAAAAATCAGGTGGTANGGGGATAGGGTTTACATTTCAAAATTCATGTGGTAATTATATTTTATAATTATAATTATTAAAAAATTAATTAAACCTATCAAATTCCCTTCACCCAACCTACCGGTACCCCCAAATTCCCAATTCATCAATAACCCTATCTTCATCATTCTCTCTACATTCTCTACCTGTCTCTTTCTCTTTCTCTCTCTCTACTCTCTCCTTTACCGTCGTCGCCGTTGAGGAGCGCCCACCGCCGTAGCGTATCGTCGCAGTTGTTTGTCCTTTCTCTCTGAACGGCAGCGTCGATGAACTAGGCGACGATGCTGGCGGCGACGAACTGGGCTACGATGCTGGCGGCGACGAACTGGGCGACGGTTAACACCGACGATGCTAACAGCAATGAACTAGGCGACGCTGCGTTGACTGGTGCCCGCTACGGTTCACAGCGCCATGGTAGTTCATCGCACCTTTAGTGTCAGTCTGTGAGCGGCTGTTCATCTTCGCTGCGCACGGTGCGATCCATTAATCCTATATTTTTAAAAAAATTTGATGCGATGGTTAGGTGCGATGGTGCTTAGTGGTAGAGGTGTCAATCCGGGTGGTCCGGGCCGGGTCGGCCCGCCAACATGTGAGTCTGGTAACAGCCCGCGTAAAAAAAAGCCTGCTCGCTGTGGGTTTCGGGTCGGTTACGGGTCGGCCCACAATTTTGGACTACAACCCGGCCCGCCCGCATACCCATCCGGGTCGAGCCCATGCGGGTCACGGGTCGCGCGGGTCGTGGTTGATTCCGGTTTGGCCCGTATGATTGTATAAATAAAATTATAAAAATATAGAATTTTTCCGGTTTGGCCCCATATGGAGAGCAACTATCATTGAAAATAGGATTTTGAGAAGAAGAATCGCGAGAATCCATAATATAGTAGGATTAAAAAATTTAGTAGTGACTAGTGAGAATCGAGAAGAAAGAAATATAATCAAGA